CTGGCAAAAATTCACAGCATCACTTTCCGGGTTGCATCGGGTCTGTAAAAAGGGGGGGGGGGGGGATTAATCACTGAAACAAAATTTGGCCGGTAACTATCGAGTCCAGCCTAGCGTAATGGACTTTTAAAAACTGGTATCGTGATATGCATGCAAGTTCCGGATGCGATGTTTCTATTTGTCTGTCTGATCACCAGAATCGTCGATGACGGGATCGAAAGGATAAATAAATTACATGGCTCAAATAAGGGGTAAACGACATCCAAAAAAATCAGATTTTTTTTAGCCCTTCGATTTTTTTCATGAGTAGTTAGATCTGTTCGCGCGAAAACCGGGATCAGTGTCGGTGTGACGAAAGCTAAGCCAGCGAGTGGTCGTGTCGTAAGCTAGCCTATCGCAGACCTGCCACTCATCCCGATTTAATGGGGATATCCCGATTTTTTCCCCCAAATCCCAATTTTCCCGATTTCGATCCGAGTTTTTGTCGTTGCGCCTGTTGCGTCCGATTCTTAAGGGAAAAAAAAGTTCTGCAATCTCTTGGAATTTTTATTGGCAGGGACTTGGAACGCTACTTTCTGAAGCATCTATGCCGAATCTAGTTGATGACTCGTGCACGTTATTTCAACTAAAACCGACGTATCGATTTTGAATTCAGACATGGATACGCTCAAGGTCTACTTTCGCTTTTATAACCCAGAATTCTCAGATGGTGTCCTAATTACTGTAACAATTATGACATAGGCCTAAGAACAATCTATTCGTTGTTCTTCCGTTGCTTTAAAAGCAAGGTTCGTCGGAGTTCTGGTTAGTCGGGCCTGTCATCAAGACCTGTCAGTGGAACGTTCAAACGCTCATTCTCTTCACGTGACATGACCTCGTATGTGTGAGTATAAATGGCCTATGCGCTGTCCACAGAAGCGGCTATATTCCGCTATAACCGACTTGCGTGTTTGTCTGATTGCGTTATAGCAGTATTTTATTTACACAGATAAAGAAAGGAAAAAACAGGGTTTTAGAATAGTGTCTTAATAACAGACTTCTCGTAATTTCGGGACTTGTTATATGTGGATTCCACTGTAATGAAAAGACACGAAATTCTCGGCCGATGCACGTTTTCAAAATACAGTAGTCTCCACCTAAGATCCCACCGCTTACGATCCCGGTTCGCTTAAGATCCCGTTGTTTTAGTAAAGCAGAAATTTTACTATACAAAAGTCACTCCTAAGATCCTGCTCTGATGGTCAACATTCGGCTAAGATCCCGCATTTCAGATCATAATTTGCTAAACAAAAACCCGGGCGGGCACAGCCGATCAACCTAGAGTGAAAAGTTGAGATCAATAAACTGTCCGTCGTGTCAAAGATCAACCACTATCGTGAATGTGATCACATACACGTTGTAAAACTCGATGAAGCGATACAATGTTTGCCCCAGACGGGATCACACCGAGGTGTGAACTGACCGACGCGTTTGTTTGCCCCACGCATCGCACTCACACCTGAGCTCGCCACCTAGACTTGCATCACTCGCTGGGTGGGTAGGGCCTACACGTTCACTCCAGGCAGGATCACATCGAACCGTGAACTCTTCCTTGACCATTGCAGCAGTTGTCTGTACTCCCGAATTTGCGAGACAGACTGAATTTTAATTGGTGGGTTCACAACGTAATGGTGTGTAACAACAAAGGCGGTTTGGGGGGGGGGGGGGGGCGGACTCGGTCAGAGATGGAAAGCTATAAATTTTTGACAGGTAAAGAGGAGGGGCAACTGGATAAACGTAGATCTTGAGACTCACGATAGGATTATAAGTGAAAATGGCACGCCTCATGCCACTAATCACCGTGATAAGTCATCAAGGTTAACCACTCTTTGCTCGTCATATGCCACAAACCCACCAAGGGGGCATGTCAGTTCATTGTAGAGAGGAGGGAGACCATTTTACCGATTGTGAGCCTTAACATGGGTCACCATAGATTCTTCCCTGGGTTCATCGGTTAAGATCCCGCATTTCCTTGCTCCCGAGCACCGGGATCTTAGGCGGAGACTACTGTAATAGAATAGATTTCCTGTTCGCAGAGAAAATATGGCACTGAGAGATGATTTTTAGTCATTTCAGCGCTTTTTATTTGGTCTTCTTCGACTCGTAAATATAAGAAGAAAAGCGCTCCACTGACTTCAGTATATGTCTCATATTTTCACTTCTATATTAGGTACACGTACATAACTTTCAGCATTTCTTCGCATAACTTGAGGCAACCTAACTGGGAAGTTTGAATGGTGTTGTTATTTTTTAGATATGACCTTTCAAACCTGGAAAATTGTTGATTTCATACGACACCTTCGATATTGCATAATGACTTTTAGAACCTCAAAGTAATATAATTGGAATTAAACTTCAATATATTGTATCGCCATCTGATAGATTATTTTTTAACCTTCAGTTTGATGGGTCGTAAGATATGGTTTGTGTGTGTATAGTTGGACGTTTTGACCTTTTCCTTTGACGAGGTAGGGGCGTAAAAATACATCAGGGAAAAGCCCAGGGCCAGTTATGGATTTTGGCCTGGTAGGAACAGAGTCAAGATGTAGTGAAATTAGGGTTAGTTTTAAAAAAAAATTGGTGTAATAATCAGAGATGCCAACCAGTACGATTTTACGTATTTAAGTACGATTTTTTGCCGCAAATACGCGAAAACGACTTTTCATGAAAAAATACGGATCCTGGAATGCAAAAAATACGAGATCCAGTTTGGTCGAGTAAACCTAATTATCTCAAGTCCCCTCTTTTTCCAGAATAGTACAGTCCGTGCCGGCTATAAGCACGCCGGCCTTAAGCACGTTTCGGACTCGAGCACGCTAAACGGCTCTTACCGAATTTTTGCTATATAAATTACACGCCTATAAGCACGGTAACTTCGGCTTCAAGCACGCTTCATTTACAAGGCAGTCAATATTTTCATGATGACCCATCGAAGTTCGAACACAGTTTACACCGCAACAGTGGAGTGTGTCAAGAGAAACACAAAGAACGCAAGTGATGGACACACACACTCACACGGGCGGAGAGGAAGGCAGAGAGATGCACACAGCCGTTCGCGCGGACATAGGATCTAGCCTAGGGCAAAGCTACACACGATCCAAAAAAAAAGAGAGTCGGGGAGATGAGAAAGGGAGGCTGGCTGCGATTTCACCTTTGACCCTCGCTACCCATTAATCCTGATTGTGTATCACGCGCGAGGTGGGATGAAGGCGGTGGTATGAGTGGCACAGCGGGCAGTGTGTTACAGTAGGCCTAGTGTGCTGTATCGTGACTGGCCGTCTAAATTAAGTTTTCATTTCCCATTCGACCACAAAACAAAAAACAAGCAAACAAAAACTACCATGGCGGGTGTCTAAATAACAGTGCACACTTTTGCGGGAATGCTATAGGCCTACTTACAAACAAAGGGAAATAGCACGGGAAATTTCCTACATGAAAATCTCTGGATTATGTCTACTTCACACTTAAGCACGCTTCGGCTTTAAGCACGCTTAAGCTTTCTCCCGATGGCCGTGCTTATAGCCGGCATGGACTGTATCAGTATCGCGGAACTGGAATATTTGAAAACCAAGTCCGATACGGTCAGTAAGTTCATTTTTGCCGGTCGCGATTGTGATAATATTCGTTTAGTTTGTCCTCCTCCGAGAGTATGTTTTACTTTCACGCGAACAGGCTATATGGCGGCATACGGAAGTGTATTTGACACCAAGGCTTGATCGGGAAAATCAAGATCTACTTTCGCTTTCGTTACCATCGAGAAGTTTGCAAGCTGTAGACTGATAACGCTACTTATTTATGACTTGCAGTTTGTGCAGTGTAAACGCTGTGTTGCCGTGCAAATAAAATTTCTCGAATTCGTCTCTGTGCTGTTACTTGTAGGAAAAAAAGAAAAGAAAATACAAGCGTTGTCCGATTTTTAGATTGTCGGGCTCGCCATCGTGACCGGTCAATGAACCTGCGCGCATTCACATCACAAATAAATGCGGCATCGTGTGAGCAAAGACCGTGTTAGGTGGGAGTAACGGCGTTGCCAAGTATAGGACTACGGGAGGGGATTTATTGATATTTTTTTTACACACTCGAGGAGGGGGGGGGGGTGTGAAGGCAACACCAGAGGGCAAAAACTTCGAGGCAAATTTCAGAATTTTGATTAGAGCTCTCTGCAAAGCGCGCTTTGGTGCAGGCCATGTGCGGAATCGGGACCCTTCATACTTTGCAAGTCTGTGTAATTGAAATAAAATGTTCACGTGTCATTGGATGGGTGATAGTAAATTATACCTACATCTACTTGGATGGGTGATAGTAAATTATACCTACAGTGTTTTTGTGTTGCTTTCTGTTCAAGACGGGCAGATTTTCAGTGTCACTGCATCTTACCCTCCCACAGTTGTTACAACTCTCAAAGTGCACGGGTCTACTTGAGCCTTTCAAGTTATTGCTTTTCTCTGAGTTTGAGCAATAATTTTAGTCTGTCAGTTCATAATATGAATCATGACACCCAGACTGGTTCTTGATAATCGAAATTCTTGTTCTAGGCCCGTCTGAACACTCAAAACAGGATTAATTTTTTATAATAATAATGAGTGGAAAATATAACAGACTGAAATACTTCAGTCAAACAAGACCCCAGTACGACACTGAACACTGACATGTTGTTGACTGGATACATGTATAATATTGTATGCGTGTGTGCTCCCTTTTTCGAGCTGGTGAGCTCGTAAATTTTTTTCAGGAAATAATGCTGGTCAGCCTGAACATTTTACTAGTTGGTCGGTCGGTCGTGGAGAATACACATTTTCCCCTGGAAATTCACATTTTCATATTTCCCAGTACTCATTTTGGTTTTGTTTGGTTGGCATCTCTGCTCAATTATATTGTGCTTGCCGAAGAGCCTTTTTTACTAGCCATTTTACTCCTTCTCCAAAGATTCTTATGAACATCGTATTTTTTTCCCCCCTCAGATTGCTGCCTGCCATCAAGAACAATGTTGGTTTTGTTTTCACAAAGGAAGACCTCAGTGAGATCAGAACCATCCTTGTGGAAAATAAGGTGGGTAACGCTTCCAAATTACTGTATGTGATGACTCAAACCGTATTGACTTATGTATTACCTTTAGTTTATTTCAGAATATATGCGTGCTTCTAAAGTCTACAGCAGAGTAAGGGTCATTTTAAGAGGATCTAGCTGTTATGGCTAAAATATGCTTAATTTAGTTCACGTCAGTGAACTGTACCAGCATAGCAAGAGTTATGGGATTTATGTTTTTAAGTCTGTTCAAAGCAAAAGATATGTCTGTGAGGGGGCTTTTCTTATGGAAAAGTATGCTTCTGTGGAAGAAAATACTGTGACTGTTAAATTCAACCATTAGGGGTTGTTTTTTTCATTTGCCGAGAGTGTTAGTGTTGAGATGACATTGTTTATAGTATGATTGTCTTTGAAATTGTGTTCAAACAGTCTCATCTCTGAATACAGCTGGGAATGCAGTTATTTTTTAGTGCTTTCTTGACTTCTCCACAATGATGAAATGTTTGTTGAAATTGAGAGCCTGGGGTCTATACAAGGACTTAACCTCCCTTGTGGGCACTCAGGTAGAGATCATTATTTGGACTCAACACCGGTCTGAGTGGACAAGAACACAATGATCAAATAAGTCACTATCCAATAGTTCACATTTTTAGTGAATGATTTATTTTTTTTACTTTGTTGATTTTTGGCACTTTGAAAAATAGATTATTCGCTCTAGCCGTTAACCCATTTATATTTGGTACCTAAGAAAGGGTTTTCTATCCTAAGCATTATGCTTTTTAATTTCAAAATTCATAAATTTTTAAAATTATGGAATGATTTTTCTTTGTCTCTCCCCACCAGGTTCAAGCCCCTGCCCGTGCTGGAGCTGTGGCCCCTCTTGATGTAAAAGTCCCAGCCCAGACCACGACCTTGGGACCGGAGAAGACCTCTTTCTTCCAGGCTCTGTCCATCCCCACCAAGATCACCAAGGGAACCATTGAAATCTTGGTTAGTTCTTTGGATTACTTTGCAAACTTAGATTCTTGCATCTGTTGACTCATACGTTAAAGGATTCTGCAGAAAGAACTGGTAACTTGAGTGTCTGTATCATTTTTCAAGTTATAGTGCTCATGGTGTTTTGTTGGG